TTATTTTTAAAATTTTATTTATTGATTAAGGTATTATATATTTGTCCTCATCCCCCATTCCCATTAATGTCTATAGTTTACATGAAGATTCATTCTTTGTACTGTACATTTCTATGCATTTTGACAAATGCATCATGTTCTATATCCACTACTTCAGTATCATACAGAATAATTGTAAGATACTACTTAAGATACTGCAGTATCATACAGAATAACTTCACTGTCCCCAAACTGCCCTGATCTCCATCTATTTATTCATTTCCCTTCAGTTTTTAAGAATCAGTAAAAATCTTCTCTCTTCTATGAAATGTTTCTGTTCTCCCAATTAGAATGACTTCATGATGCTTGCATAGGATTCTTTTATAATGAATTAAAATATTTTTATTGACTTTAGAGAGGAAGGGAGAGGCAGATAGAAACATCAATGATGGTAATCACTGATCAGCTGCCTCCTGTACAACCCCTACTGGGGATTGAGCCTGAGGCCAGGAATGTACCCTAAAGGGGAATTGAACTGTGACCTCCTGGTTTACGGGTCCACCTTCAACCACTGAGCCACACTGGCTGGGCGCACAGCATTCCGTATTGTCTTTTACACACCTACGCTCGGTATATATTAGAGGCATACACACACTGTTCTTCCTTTGTCCTTGTGGGAGAGGCCAAGCCATTGTCCAGACAACACCTAGAATTGCCCAGACAATACTTAGCCTAGACCTAGTTCTTAATAGATCTAGAATACCAGCTGAACTGAACTGAATTGTGAGCAAATATTAGGATGGGATTGTGCAGACTAGGTCTCAAGTGAAAAGTGTACTTGTGAGGTCTGTGCATGCTGCAGGACTCAGGGGTCGGTGGATGAGAAAATCCTTTGAAAGCAAACGGGCGTAGGAGCTGCCTTGGGTGAGATGGCCCAGGCCAGCTTTACATTACTACTAGGCCACAGAGCTCTTATCCACTTCTCTTCTCTCCAAAACAAAACAAAACAACACAACAACAACAAAGGATAAGGAGCCTGGTTATTTCCATCCTTCCAACCCAGACCCCTGGAGAGTCTTTTGTTTGGTCCTCACTCTCTCTTCCCAGGTGGCCCCCAACAATTGAGGATGCCCAGTGTGCCTTCCTTGGTCAGGGAGAACCTTCCCTTAATTTCTTATTTTCTTATTTCACGCCTAGCCCTTGGCTCTAAAGACACCGTTCTTAGACTCTCTAAAACACAGCAGGAACATGCAGAACTGAACAAAAGCAAATAAATTGAATCTTGTGAAGTCGCAAAGCAGACACCCTTCTCCAACAGCCGGCACAACACTAAATGAGAAATATCAGTCACCCACTGGATACAGCATTTTCCCTTTAGGCTGGAGCTGCTGCTGGCGCCCCCCTCCCATGAGACGGAGAAGGCACCATAAAACAAATCACTCCCCTCGGCTCCTACTGGGGAATCAACAGCCTTAGCAGCACCACTATTCCTTTAAGCAACACAAGCTTTTACTTCCCTGTACCTGCCTCCAGATACAAATGGGGAGGAGATGGATGCAGAGAAAGGGAGGAAGAGGGGTAGAAGGAGTAGGGGGAGAGAGAGATGTTTCCCTGGTCGCAGCGTCTAGAGCCCACAGTGGCGCCAGAACCTGCGCAGGGCCAGGGCTGGAGGGGGGTACGCTCTGGAAACCCGTTAGCTCTGAAGGTGCTGTGACCTGGGGCAGTGAGTGCTCTCCCAGGTACCTGGCTCTCCCATTCCTCCTCCACTTACCCCGCCCCCCCTATCCCCATTCCCCCCCCCCTCTCCCAAAGAGTCGGAGGAAAGGGGAGGGGCGCCTGCCTGCCTGGCTCGGGAGCCCTAGGGGAGCTGGAGAGCCCTCCACACCTGAGCCTTTGCCCGCTGCACCTGTGCCCTAGGGGGCGGAGCCTCCCTCAGGTGTGCGGAGGGGAGGGCACCGGCGGGCGCGGAGCCTGGCTGCCGGAGCCCCGGCGGTCCACCCCCGCCCGAAGCCAAGCCGGAGGAGGCGCGGTTAACCCGCACACAGCGTCTGCGGGATCCGCAGGCCCCGCCCGCCTCCTGGGGGGGCCGGAGCGAGGGAAGGGGCGGACACACCGCGGCGCGGAGGGGGTTAAGCGGGCGGCCCGCGGCTGGAGCGCGCTTAACCCCTTGGCGCCCGTGGGTCCGCGGAGCCAGGCCGGGGCGGCAGGCAGCGCCCGAGTCCCCCGCGGCGGCCACCCCGAGCGCGCGGGCCGTGCCGGGAGCGCCTGGGCCGGGCGGCCGGCCGCCGGGGCGCAGCGTGGCCCGTGGGAGGCTCGGGCGGGAGGGGGGAGGACGGGGACGGCGGCGGCGGGCGCGCAGCGTCGCCAGGGCGAACCGGCGTGCGGCGCGGCGCGGCGGGCGCGGAGCGAGGGAGCGAGCGAGCGAGCGCCTCCGTCCCCGGATGTGAGCGCGGGCTGCCCGCGGTCCCGAGCCAGCGGCGGCGGCGGCGCGGGCGGCGGCGGGCACCGGGCACCGGGCACCGGGCACCGGGCACCGCGGCGGGTGGCGGGCATGGGGGGCGCGCGGGGCGGTCCCGGCAGCCGGGCCAGCATCGCCGCGGCGGCGTCCCTCCGCTAGAGGAGGGGATCAAGCCAATTCTCCTTTGCAGCAAAAGCAAAAAAAATAAAAATAAAAAAATTACATGTATATATTATTAAGATAATATATACATCTGGTCTTATTATTTTTTTTAAAAAAGTTTATTTTGCTCCATTTTTTTTTGAAAAAGAGCGAGCGTGAGTGGGCGAGCGGTTTTTAGAAATTATTATTTTTCTGTTATCTGTCCCCGTCCGTCCCTCCCCACCGCCTGCTGAAGCGAGAATAAGGGCAGGGACCTCGGCTTCTGCCTACCGGGAACCCCTCACCCGCCCCACCCCCGCCCTCACGCCCAGCTCGGTGCCCTGCACGCAGTAGGCGCTCAATAAATGTTCGTGGATGATGATGATGATGATGATGAAAAAAATGCAGCATCAACGGCAGCAGCAGCAGCAAGCGGACCACGCGAACGGTGAGCAGCTAGAGCCCGGGCACCCGCTGCCAAGCCTCATCCTTGTCACGGTCCTCCTCCTCCTCCCGCCCCCTCCTCGTCCTCACCCCTCCCGTCTCCGCCGCGCTGGGTGGGCTGGGGGGGGGGGGCTGGAGAGGATGTTTCTGGCCCGGTGGGTGTCATCCACAGAAAGGGGATGTGCGAGACAGCAGCCACCCCGCTCTCCCCTCCAGGCCTTGAATGTCAGAGCAGATTCTGCATTTGTGGGGTGGGGGCGGCCGCGGGGCCGGCGGAGTGCGGTGTAGCAGGAGGGCCTCGCCCCGAGGTGATGTTGGGTTCGTGTCCTCGGGCTCAACTTTCCTCCAACGCTCCCCCCCGAGCGATGGAAGAGGGGTGGCTATGAGTCTTCAATCGGAGCCCCCTTTCCAGCCTCCTCTCGCCTTCACCCCGTTCCCAGCCCCTTTTGGATTCGGAACAAGGTCTCTGGTGGCACCCTTAAAATTCTAGGATTGCTGGGTTTCACCCTGCGCGCACCCCTCCCCGGAGAGGGAGGCCAAGTCTCCCCGATCGCTGGCCAGGGGTCGGCGGAGCTTGTGTTCCCGCTCCCGTGCCGCCGTGCACACGTCGGTAACCTAGCAATGCCCGGGGAGCTGCTGCCGCCGCCGCGGGGCTCCCTACCCCAGCTCCGGCCGCCGGACACCACGTGCAGCCACCCAGCCGCCGGCTGTGCGGGGTCCAGGGAGGCTGGAGCAGCTGCTGCTGGCTGGCCCTCCTCCTCCTCCCTCCCAGGAGGTCGCCGGTGCCCTCCACAACCCCCGTGGGCTTGCAGCCTTCCCAGGTGAGCGCTCCCCAAGGAAAGGCTGGGCGCCACACCTTTCCAGGCCGGGACTGGCTTCTGCCCCCTTCCCAGGGGGCTGGGCAGGCAGACCTGTGCTGGCTTGGACTCTCCCTTGTTCTGCACTTAGCTTTGCAAACGCCCGTCCCTCCTCTTCCTCTTCCACCACTCTCACTTGGACTTCTGTCTCAGTAAGAAGGTTGTGACCCTTTTGAGGCAGGTTCGGGGACAGGCCAGCTTAGGTAGTGGCCTGACCCGAAGCCAGAGGTTGCACGTCTGTCTCCTTGGGGTTCTGCCCTGGTGTACCGGGATGCCAGCTACACGGAGATGATTCCTCTTAGGCCTCGAGGCCCCCTGGCCTCCTCCTCCTGCCCGTCTCTCCCAGGCGCAGGGGCGCAGGCTGACTGCCTGGTCTGTTTCTCTGGATGCTGCTGGCGAGGCTGCTGCGGCTGCAATTTAAAATGCAAAAAAGCCCTAAAGATGTTTTCTGTTTTCGGAAGAAGCCCGCGGAGGAAATGAGTCCCAGCCATCATGAATTTTCATTTGCAGGAAGTGTCAGTGCATAATCTAGATATTTGTTACGGGGCTTTGGGTATGGCCCTGGTGCCAGTGGAGATTTCTTTCTTTTCTTTTCTTTTTTTTCCATGCTGAAAAATGAATCTGTGGCTGTGGAAAGATGTTGGAGTAACACTCTGAGAATGATTAAGATGATTGAATTATTGGCATTGCCTTTTTTTTTTCTTTTGGGTGTGTGTGATGGTGGTAGTTATTTTAGAGAAAAGCTGTTTGTACGTATCTGTTCACCCATGAGAGATACATGGGTTTTAAACCAGAAAAGGTGTGGAATAAAGGTGGGCATGACCTCCGTTTGTCTGGAGACATGCACTGGAGGATGCCTTGTGACTTCATGGACGGAGCAAGGTGTGCACACACACCCTGGGCGCCTGGCTGCGAGGTCCTGTGTGATGGCACTCAGGGCAGCATGCTCTGTCTGACCGAATCCCGGTCACTGAAAAACAGAACACGAGGTTCAACATGGAAATGTGCGGATGTTTCCCCCTTGTTACTTATGGGAAGCAATCTTTGCTTTCTTTTGACACTGGGTTCTCATTAAAAAAAAATACACATACATACATATATATTTTTTTCTATCTTTCCAGAGGCAAACTATGCAAGAGGCACCAGGTTCTCTCTTTCTGGTGACGGACCAACTTCTCAGCCGAACAGCTCCAAGCAAACTACTGTCCTGTCTTGGCAGGCTGCGATCGATGCTGCGAGACAGGCCAAGGCTGCCCAAGCTATGAGCACCTCCGCACCCCCACCTGTCGGATCTCTCTCCCAAAGAAAACGTCAGCAATACACCAAGGGCAAGAAACAGGGTAACTCGTCCAACAGCCGGCCTGCCCGCGCCCTCTTCTGCTTATCACTCAATAACCCCATCCGAAGAGCCTGCATTAGTATAGTGGAATGGAAGTATCCTTTTTTTTTTTTTTTTTTTTGAGGGGAAAGTCTTTCTCATTTTCTTTTGCCATCTGTTCTTGAAAAGGATTTGTGTTCTGAAATGGCACTTCCAGAGTGGTGGCAGTCTGGAATGTGTGCAACAGAAGCTGTGTGTAAAGGGCTTCATGGTATGCTAGTATACCCTTCTGTCTCCTCCAGGGGCAGAGGGGTGGCTCTGTGGGTATATTTAACCTACTGTGTGTGTGTGTGTGTGTGTGTGTGTAGTGGTAGTAATGAGGGGAGAGAGTGACATCCCCAAATTTCAAAGTGGTAGATAATTACAATGTGAAACTTAACTTTTGGTCATTTGGAAATAGATGGCTAGTTTAAAGCCACTGTTGTTCTGGGGCAGGGGTATGCATTGAACCTGTTGCAACTAAGGTCTACGGATGAACAAAAACGAAAAGAGGGTATGAGACTACACCAGAAGTAAATACATTTTGACCTTTCGTGGAATCTTCTCATTTTGATGTTTGGGATTTGCTTCTAAAATTCCAATTTATGCTGAGGTTGCTTCCAGCTCTGACATTTGGCAATTTGGATGGTTCAGGGAACTACATATATGAACCCTGGCCTCAGAGGGAGGGAGCATTGTGCTCATCAGTGTTACCACTTTCTGGAATCTCCTTTTGACAGGTTCCTGAAAGGCTTTTGAGACATGAGCTTGAGGGAGCATGGGAAGGGAGAGGTTTGTGGCCGCCTCCTTTCCCCAGCCTCTGGGAGGTATTTGAACAGCCCTCTCAGTGGAGGAATTTGCAGTTGCTGCTTTTCTAAGAAATTCTGTCTCTGTCCTTGGGCTGGAGTTACATGTCTGGGTGTCCCTTTGCATTTTTATTTATTTTTATTTTTTTCCCTTTGCATTTTTATTTAAAATGAACTCCACGTGCCCCAGGATGGTGGTTAAGTCCCAGTTTTCCAAGGGGTTGGAAAACTAGGGTGCCAACCCCTTCCCCTAATCTGAAAGCCAGGCTCCAGGAGCCTCCCTTCAGAAAAGGTTGACTAAGGCCTTCTTTCTATGCAAATGACTTTCTAATTAGTCCGTCCATTCACTGATCTGGGTAAAACAAAGCTTTTACCCAGATAACTCCTCTCCCCAGAAGTATATTTGGGGCTGAGGAGGGGCCTTAGAGCAGTTTCTAACTGTAGGAAGGAGTGTGAATCTAGGGCCTCCCCAACACCCACATCCTGTGGGAGGGGCCACCTAAAAAAGGGAGGATGTTGGAAAGGGCTAGAAGGTAGAGCAGAAACCCTCTTACAATGTGAGTACCTAGCCAGGCAGCTGTTTACATTCCCCCTGTCTTAACTGGCTACCTCTGTGCTCACGCACACGGAGTTACAATGAGGTAATTCTCTAGAAAGGTTTTGGAGAGAGCAGCCAAATGCAAGGACAGGATTTGAGGGGTTTTCACGTTCTTTTTCTTTTTCGAACAGATGTCTCTTCTCTAGAGGGAGTTACGGTGTCTCTCACACGGCTGGGGTGGTGTGGATGTGTTTTCTCTTTAAGCTCTATTCTGGCCTGAGAAGGAATACCAGTGCCGGCCTAGAGGGAGCAAGGCGAAGAGGGTGTGCCCGTGGCATCCCTACGGTCAGAGGCAGTGGTTGCCTTTTGCCAGAAAGATCTCCTCCTCCTTAGGCTGGCTTGCGGGGACTCTGAGTAAGCAGACACCCCTTGGTGGAGTCCTTGGTTCCCTGTGCAGTGAGGTGGGAGGTGCTGCTTCTCTTTGCACACAGTGAGTTGTACGTAGCAATTGATGTGCCTGGATCACAGCTGATTTCTTATGACTTCCTGGATCATGCTGCCGACTCCCTTTTCTGCCACCAGACACGCGTGTACAGGAATTGGGGATGTGGCTGCCAGTGCAGGGAGGAGCCTGCCCGCAAATAGGACAGTTGGTAGATTAGACCCTTAAATGATATCGCTTGTTTGTTTGTTTGTAAAGGACAGTGTCCTTCTAGTGCAGGTTGTAGAAATCCTCCGAAAGCCAGCTCTGCCAGACCCAGCCACCTGGGGGGAGAGAGAGCCTAGTTTGTGTGTGCACATGGGCAAGGCAGAGGGGGTCCTGCACCTTGTGGGGGGCAGTGTGAGGAGTGTCACCGTATCAGAAGGAATTTTTAGGATCCTACCCATCCATTCCTCTATTGCTCTGCTCTCCCTGGCTGGTAACAATCTTGTGGCAGGGGGATCACAAAGACTGTGACGGGACCACCATAGAGAGCAAAATACTTGCATCTGGCCTTCCCGAACAGCTTCAGGACTTCTCAGATTTGCTGGTTTACCATTTAGGTATTGGGAAATTAAAAAGAAATCATGGTGGTGTGGAGGAGGGGAGAGACAGTGTGTTTCTATATAGAATAACAAACACTGGGGCAGTTGGCTTTTAACATGTCAGTAGGAACTGCTAAAAATAAAGAGAGTCTGACATCTTAATTTGGATTTCCTTAAAGTTGGACCTCTACCGAAGAGACCTCATAGGGCTAAAATGGGTTAAAAGAATAAACATGAATGAACATGAATGAAAACGAACTGAATTTAAAAATTAACCCATTGACATCAGCGAGGGAATAACATCGCTCACTTCCTTACTCAAATGAGTGTTGACGCTCTTCAAGGGGCTGAAGTTTCATGAAACCCAAGGTATCCCCAGAGAGGGGAGGGATTTTCATTTCCTGCAGCAGTTTTGGGGTTGCCAGAAGGATATCAGAATGAATGGAGGAGGATCTGCTCATGTTTTCAGTACTCTGAGGTGTTTAGTTAAACCCGTGGCCTTGCCTTGTGGGTTGGCCCATGGGAGAAACACTTGGACAATCGAGCCCCACACGTGCAGCTTAGGCTGGTGCTCAGGAAACCTTCCATTTGGAAAGGCTGAACACCAAAAGGAGAAAATTTTGACATTTTGGCAGGTGTCAGATTTGCTATTGCCCGTTTTGACAGTGTCTCTTAGTAACACCAGAATGTTTAAGCAAGTGTCTCTTGAAAGCTGACCTCGGTGATTCTTCCAGACAGAGCGACCGACCCCCCGGGATTTAGAATTGTTACATTTTACTTTGAGAGTGTCTGGTGCTAAAAAAAGAAAAGTGTCTGGTGCTGATTTCTTATGGCTTTTTAATTTAATGTGTGATAAAGTAAGTGCAGTAACTGCACATTGTAAACTCAGCTCCAGTCCAACTCTAATTTATAGCAAACGATTGATTAGTAGAGGAGGGAGGGGAAGCCTAGCTTGCGTATTGCATGTCTGAGGAATTGGGACAAGCCACGAGACCGTCACAGGTGGAATGGAGAAGGTCCTGGTGACGTGGCCTGCCCGGTCCTGACAGGAGATTCAGACTGACCGGGCCAATATCCCCGAGAAAATGGCTCTGACAAGGATTTGAGGGAGAGATTTGTCTCGTGATAACTTGTCTTTGGGTCAGGAAAGAAACAGCCAGAAATCTAGCTTTCTAAGGCCCTCGTTGGTTTTAAAACTAGAAGAAGCAGAAACCTGGTTTGCACGGTGCCCTCACTGGATGTGCTTTTAGATTTGAATATAAAATGCTCAGCAGAAGCATGAATGTAACGTGATTTTTGTAACAGAAGAAGAAGACATGGAGAGGTGATTTGATAGCAACATCTACAGTGAGCTGACCCCCAAGATGATTTCTCACAACAGTCAGTTTGTATATGTAACTTTCATTTTGAAAGTGATTCAAAGGTGGTGAGTTTGGGAGTGCGATGAGAGAGGGTTTGTGTTTGTTTAACTATATGCACACGTGTGTGCGATGAGAGAGGGTTTGTGTTTGTATAACATATGCATACGTGTGTGTGTGTGTATGTTTGTGTATGTGTGTGTGTATATATATGTACATACCTTAACAAAAATTTTCAGACCATTTGACATATTTATATTATTGGCTATTTTTGCCAATTGTGTGGCCTTAGCTATTTACATCCCATTCCCTGAAGATGATTCGAATTCAACAAATCATAACTTGGTAAGTGTTCTCTGAGTATCTCCTTGTCCTAATGTGTGGTTATCATTTGCCTGTGTGCTTACAGGCAGCTGGCTTTCTGGGCGGTGAAAGTTACAGCTATGCATGCGTTGTTTCCTGGCTTTACAACAGAGGCTATTTTTTTAAAATTTATATTCTCAAATTTATCCTGAATGAAAGTGTTCAAAGTCACGAATTCTGTATAAATAGATGTAGAACTTTTTATGGACGAGGTTTTAGCAGATTTTAAAATGACTTTTCTCTCCGTATAGGCTTTTGTTATGTACTATTCTTTTCCTGATAATATTAGCTTTTTAAAAAATCCAGTGTTATTTGGGAGTGGTGGGTACTTGGGTCAGCTTTTCTGGTAAGGAGAGAATTACCATAGATGTTGTGTATAAACTATTAATGTTTAGAGAAGTCGAGTGCAACGAAGCCAGCGAACTTCGTGGTGCATCACTCCGAGAAGCACAGTGCAGAAGTGAAGTTCTCACTCCCAGTCTTATGAAATGCCCCCAGATAAAAAATGATCCCGTAGTTAAATAAATTGGGATACTTCCACATAGTTTATTGCCCTCCTCAAGATTTATAGTGCACATTAGCTCACGTAAAAGCTCCGGGAAGGTTTGTAGTTAAAAAACCCAGTTTCGTTTTGTTTAACTCAGCTAGTCCTTAAAAGTAATTGGTCATGGATTCTTTAAACATTGTTTTGGCAGAATGCATCACAGAGCCAGTGCTTCGTGGCGCTTCCTTTGGGAAAGGGTGATATGGTTAAAAAATAAATTTAAAAAAGCACCGAGGAGCACGCGTGGGACTAGGAGCCTGTCCCACTTGAATGTCAGCTGGCTGTATTCCGGGGCCTTTCCCAGGCCCTCTCTGCATCGCCTTTCACCCACCTGCCAATTAAGGGGATTGGATGAGAAGGTCACGAGGATTGCTTTTACCTCTGAAACTCTGTCATGTTTCCTTGATGATTCAGAAGCCATTTCGGGATTCTTTCTGGAGCCGCAGCCTCCTTGCCAGATCGGTCCTTTATGATTGGAGGCCGGGAAGGAAGGAAGGCAGGCAGATGGAGGAGGGGGCTGGCTGGTGCCCACAGGGAACGCGAGCCACTATTTTGCTTTCTCTTCTTTGAGCGAGTCCCGTTTGTTTTGGCTTCTCCTGGCGAAGCTGTGGTTCAGTAGGGCCGGGTGATCTGGACGGAGGGTTGTAAAAGCAGAATTGGTGCGGGCAGTGCTCTGCTGAGTTCTGAAGATACTGAAGTTGTGCCCTTGCGATAGTAGCCCTCGTGGCTTATGTACCAGATTTCATGGCACATGTAACATAGGCGGCATAGTTCAGATGTGGCATGATGTCTGTTCATCTTTGGGGTTTTCTGGTCAGATTTCTAGGTAATTAAAAACATGTGGCTATTGCTACTGAAAATTCACTTGTGCGTGGGAGTTAGATACACACACACACACACACACACACACACACAATTGCTATAAGTACATATTTATACTGGGCTAAAGATGATTTGTGTTACTTGGCATATTTAAAATAGCTTCTGCGTTTGTTGCAGAGAGCGACATTAGATGATCATTTCACAGGAAAAGCAGAAGCACCGAAAAGCCCCCCTCTGTGGGGGTAGGTCATCGTTGTCTAGGCCACAGATGGTGTCAGCCTTGTTACCAAATTTAACAACGTGGATGCTGACCCAGTTTGTTGGTTTTTTTTTGTAGCTCAAGAGAACATGATTAAACAAACTTAGAAAATAAACACCTTTCAGAAAGGCAGATTAATTCAAGTCAATGGAAAAATTAATGAAGCTCAGCATGTATAGCCAATTAATATTCTGATTCTTCCCAGGGAAATTTGGGGCACTAATATATGTGCTGTCAAACCATCTGGGTTTCTTAGCTAATAAGGGATGGAATGAAATATAGGAGATGGGTAAATCTCTCTTCTCCCTGGCAGCCCCTCTCCAGTTTGTCCTTTTTTCACAATTCTGAAATATTGGTCTTTCTTTTGCGGGGGGGGGGGGGGGGGGGGGCGGGGGGGCGGGGCAGTGTGTTCTTTTGGCAGGCCTCTCTGAAAACCAACAGCTATTTCTTTGACCCCTTAGGATTCTGAGACTCACAGCATTCCCGAGTTTGTCTTGTGTTCACTAGGATGGTCACATGGTCAGATGAGTTTATTCTCCGTCTGACTCTTTAAATATTCCCTTTCCCACTGTGGGAAGAAGGGAAGAGCGTGGTGGATTTCCCCTGACTCTTAGCGAGGTCCCATGCCATGTCAGTCCTCCCGCCAGGGAGCCGGGTGTTTTTTTTTTTTTATACATTTGACCCATTTTTTACCAGAGTGATTGCTCTATTTTTGGGACGGGTTTAGAGGCAGCTGCACGAAGCTTGTTTTTCATCTGTAGTAAATACCTTTCAGTGAATGTGAATGGCACCACAGAGGTCAGAGCCCGGGATGGGCTGCCGAGCTTTACGGTCCCCGGGAGCTCGTGGCTTCCTGTGCCCCCCGGCTCTGTGGGAAATGTGTACGTCGGGCACGCAGAGCGAGGTCCAGGGCCGGCTCTGTGGGAAATGTGTACATCGGGCACGCAGAGCGAGGTCCAGGGCGGGCTCTGTGGGAGGTGTCCCTGCCCATTGTTACAGGTTGCTGGTAGGGATGCGATTGCTTTGCTGGGTGAGGAACCCGGCCATTCCCGCTGGTACAGTGTGTGTTTGGTGTAGGCTGTGCGTAACTCAGCCAGCTTTGGGGATTTAGAAAACTACCTTGGGGGCAGCAAGTTTTCCCAGGGTTAGATAAAAAAAAAAAAAAGTATAAACAATCTCAAGTTTCAATGCAGCATACATCTGTGGACTTACAGGGAACCAGTGAGGTGGAAGCCATGGAAACGGTGCAGCTCAGTTCCCACAGTAACATCCCCCTTCGCTCCGTGAGCGGCAGTGTTTCCTCAGTTCCACTTATTGAAGACGTATATCACTTCCTTAATTTTCTTCTTAGCACGGGGTTTGGGGAGCTCTTCTCTACGGGGTGTGAGAGTGGGGATGAATGCAACGTTGCACCTCACTGTGTTGAAAAATGCTTTATTTTGCTTCCCAGACTGGAGTTTCTCCTAAGCAAACGGATGCGGTTGAACAGTTTTCAGACTGTGCAGCCTGTTCCTGGGACCCCCGCCTCGCCCAGCCCACCTCCAGTTTCTCTGTGGTGCTGAACGACCTCACCTTATAACGGTTTCAAATAGGGATGTTCGCCCTAGCTGGTTTTGCTCAGTGGTTAGAGCACCAGCCCGCAGAGTGAAGGGTCCCAGGTTCAAGTCCAGTTGGGAGCATGTCGTGTGCAGCAGGCAACCCATTGATGTGTCGCTCTCACATTGATAGTCCTCTCTGTCTCTCCCTCTCTCTTCCACTCTCTCTAAAAATCAATCAGAAAATATCCTCTGGTGAGGAATGACGACAACAACAACAACAACAAAAGCAGGGATGCTCAGCTGCCACATCACACATGCCCTGAGGTCCGCTGATGCCCGAACCCATGGAGGGCAAGACCCATGCACTTTATCAGCTGCTCCATGAAGTCTGGGCAACTCAACGAGAAGCTTCACTAAGTCTTTGGTGCCTTTTCTGCCCCCTTTCTCATCTTGTTTAGCCTGTTGACATTTTTCTTTTTCTTTTTTAAAAATATATTTTATTAATTTTTTACAGAGAGGAAGGGAGAGAGATAGAGAGTTAGAAACATCGACGAGAGAGAAACATCAATCAGCTGCCTCCTGCACACCCCCCACTGGGGATGTGCCCGCAACCAAGCTACATGTCCTTGACTGGAATCGAACCCGCGACCCTTCAGTCCGCAGGCCGACGCTCTATCCACTGAGCCAAACCGGTTTCGGTAGCCTGTTGACATGTTGCCTCTACAGCATCCTCCACGTCTTCCCCTCCTCCCCAGCCCACCACAGCGGCATGCCTGCTGCTAGATAAGTGATCCTGAGGCTTCTGTGGCTACCCACTGTCCTCTGGGGAAAGGCCACACTCCGCGGCTGGGTCCTCTGTGGTCTGTCCAACCTCTTTTGGACAGACCTACGTTCCTCTCCTTCACAGTCTCACCCATCTGTCCACCATCAGTTCCTAATCACCCTCCTCTCCACTTGTCCACATCCCGGTTTCTCCTCCGCTGCCTTCTCTATCCGAAAAGCCTCATTCGTCCTGCTAGTCTTCCTTCAGGTGTCCCCGTTCCTGTAGCTGCTCAGGAATAATCCCGACGTGTGTCTCTCCCAGGAGGTCCTTTCAGACCCTGGTCTGAAGGAACACTCTTATCTGAACCTCCCTTGTGGCACTTTACAGAGAACATATCCTATATTTTAGTTATTCATCTGCATATTCTATCATTACCTTCAGAATACAGTTCACAGCGAGCCATTTCCGGTCCCCAGCAGCGCCTGGCCATGGCGAGGGAGAGACGCTCAGTAATGTGTGTCGGTGGGGAGATGCATGTCTTTCTCAACCACAGATCCAGTACCATATTTATAAAAAAAAAAAAAGGACTGTGTGAGAAGCAAGAGACCCCTGTGGCAGATTTGAGGGTGGTTTACTTTTTTAAACTTCCCCACCAGTATTTTTTATTTTTTTCACTGACTGTAGAATGTGGGAAGTACCTGATACAGAGGGGGCCACTTGCCCAGGAGTAGAGACACCTATGTCTCTATGGTAAATCCTGGTGACAGAGGGAGGGGGCACTCCAAAACAGATCCCACCAGCTCCTCCCCAAAGAATGTCCCTAAAGAATCAGAAAAGGCTCTGGAGTCCCGGAACGTGAGTGGTGGGTGGGTAGAGGGTGGTGGGTGTCACTGTGGAGGGGATGATGCTCTGCGGGGAGTGCTGGTGGGTGTCTCTGCCCTGCAGGGTGTGGGTGGTGGTTGGCAGGCCTTCCAGGAATAGATGTGAACATCCCCACGTCTGCCTCCTGCCATGCGCAGACTCCTGGGGCTCTCAGCCCTCTGCAGGAGAGGAGGT